CTGGGATAGTGGGAGGTGTCCCTGCCCATGGCAGCAGGTAAAACAAGATGGGCTTTAAGGTCTGTTCCAGCCCAAACCATTAAGTGTCATGTATTAAACCATAATTTGTAGCCGTGTAAGTTTTTCCCTGGTGATGGTAAAGTCAGTTTTTCTGCCATGGAATGTCTTTTTTTTTTCTTCTACAGCATTTTGTTTGTGCCAAATGTGAGAAGCCATTCTTGGGGCACCGACACTATGAGAAAAAAGGACTGGCTTATTGTGAAACTCACTATAACCAGGTAAATTCTGCCATCTATGCTGGAGGTACTTGCTCTGACTGGCAAATGCTTTTTTGCATTTTAATATGCAAAGCTGCAGATTTTGCATAATCTGAATTTGTAGAGGCAATGCAATATTAAGAAATTTGTGAGATTTAACAGAAAAAAGTAGTTTTTCTTGATAGATGGAAAAGCAATGTTGAGAACAGAATAGAAATGTCTTGGGGATACTGATTTTAATTTGTGCCATTGACAGAAAAGCACTGACCACGGGTTGTGATTAAAATCCCTGTAATTGTATTTCTAAACTGTTTGTGTGCCCATCTTTGGTAATACTTTCTTCCATGGGCCTGAGACAGCTGTTATGTTGTCTAAAGCATGGGAAACTATGTTTCAAAAGCCAATCAAACTCTGTTTTTTCTGTATGATTCTATGGAACAGCTATGAGTTTGGTATTTTCTTCTGTCAGATAAATGAGGTAAGTGTTACTGTTTTGATAGAAGCTCTACGTTTTATTTTGGTATTTATAGTTGAGCATCAGGAGATGTTTATCTACAGTAAGCATCATACTCTACTGAACCTTTCTTCTCCAATTGCCACATGTACAGGACTTTAAGATCCCATAACAGTGGTAGAGTGTGAGGCATCAACAAAAAAGGTTTTGTAGTATTTAGTGGTATGAGATCCAAAGGAACATAGACTATTTGGCAAGTGTATGAGAAGTTATTCAGAAGATTTAAATTGGTATATTTGGGGGCCACTTCAGCATCTGGGAATTCTTTGATTATTAGGATTTAATGTTCACACCAGCTGCATAATGTGGGGAGCATGAGTAGTCAGCAACATGAGTTCCTGTTCTTATTTCTTTTTCTGTGCAGCTCTTTGGAGATGTTTGCTACAACTGCAGCCACGTGATAGAGGGAGATGGTAAGATTTGTTCTCTCCTTGTTTTGGGTTGCTGTCCTCTCTCCATTTGTTAGTGCAGCTGTTGCAGTCCCACAGTTGCAAGGCACCAGTGTTTGTTTTCACATCTGGCGACATTTGAATGTGGACATAAATCTGAATTCAGATAATCTGGCAGTTTCTTCTTACTTTGTGCTTTTGCTTTTGCAGTGGTGTCAGCTCTTAACAAGGCCTGGTGTGTGAATTGCTTCTCCTGCTCCACCTGCAACATCAAGCTCACACTGAAGTAAGTCAGTGTTCATATTTTGGACCATGTGAGACATTCACCCCTAAGGTAGGGGGTATCAGCTTGGGGGAGCCATGAACCAGAGGCTCTCTGAGGGGCAGTATACCTCTTCTCTGTGGGAGCAGGTGCTTATAATTCCACTGATTTCAGGATTAAAAGGGAGCTGACACTCAGCATCCTCTCTGATTTATTTTTGTTTATTAATCTGTTCTGTAAGAAGGTTGAGTAAGAGGAGAACTCATTCAGCAGTGCAGAGGGAAGGCTCTGAACTTTGAGGAACTGCCTGTCCTGAACAACCCCCAACCTCCATGTCTCCTTAAATTTGCATGCTCCCCTCAATGACAATATTTAATATTCCACAGATTAGTTTGAAATAAAATACTATGGTATTTGCCTCAGATATGTAGAAGAGGGACAGGAAAAAAGCAATCCTACATTCTTCCTGTCTCAGGTTCAAACCCTTACCCTACTATGCTGGGTTGACTCCACCAAGGAGCTCTTAATTCATCACAAAGAGGACCTTTGAAGTGACACTTGCATTATACAATAACAAAAAAATTATTCTAGATTGTTACATACAAATATATAGCAAAATCTTGCTCCTTATTTAACTAGGGGTGCTAAAGACCCAGGTTCCCTGGTAAGAACCCAATCTCTGTTCTTACATCACCAGATGAGGAAATGAGTTGTTTTATAAGTGCAGATGCGTGGAGATTTGAATTAGTGAAGCATATAGTTTGCAAATACCATTTTAATAACTGTTCTTTGTGTTAAAGGAATAAATTTGTGGAGTTCGACATGAAACCTGTGTGCAAGAAGTGCTATGAGAAATTCCCTCTGGAGCTGAAGAAACGCCTGAAGAAGTTGTCAGAGCTGGCATCCAAGAAGGCCCATCCCAAAGCTCTAGATTTAAACTCTGCTTAAACAGGTCTGTCAGTCTCCTGACTGCACTCTTACAAAAGCTGCTGCTCACTGCAGCTCTTGATTACAGAGGCAATTACTAAGAAGTGACACCAAAGATAAGTAGTCCCTTCCCCTGCTTCTGGTAGTATTGCTTGCATCTAGACTATCCCTTTTCTCAAGCAGTTGTCTGTTAACACTGGCAGAAAGAGGAGTATGGTTTGTGCTTGAGCAGTTTACAGGCTGGTTATTAATTTGCTAATAACAACGCTTTTTGCCTTTGTGGAATTGTACACAATCTTTCCTTCCTCAATTGAACTGTGGTTCTCCGTCCATTCCTCTTAGTCTAAGGAATTTGGAAACAGTGGATTAGTGTAGAGCTGGAAGAAATGTCTGATTTGCTCTTTTTCAGATGAAGTATCAGCATTTTTCTTCTTCCTGTGGGGGCAGAAATTTTTAGGCTTTTTAGTACCTAGGCAAATATTCTGAAAGTTGTTGGTCTTTGCTACATGCAAAAAGTTCTGGTCTTTCTCCATTTTCCTTCTGAGAATATATGGGTGCTGTACAGTCCTTCTGGTTTGTAGGTTTACTAGAAAGGTTCAGGAACCAACAGCTATGGCATCTGCACTGCTGGCTCGTATGTCTTAGGCCCAGTGCTAGGACAGCTGCAGAAGTTTGTTTTGCTGCTTCCCTGTTCAGTACTGAGGAGATGTCAGTTGTCAAGGCCATGTCAGGGTTCTCCATGATGAGGAGATGACTATGGGGAAACAAAACATTCTATTAGAATTAACACTCTGTAATTTTCCCTGTTCTCTACTACTCCATGGCTACTAGAGCTTCTGCTGGTCAACACAAAGCATGTCCTATCCACTGGTGTAGCTAATATTTCTTGAGGCAGTGTGGCTGGAGCCTTGGTTATTCTTCTGCACAGGGAAATCAAATGGATAATATGGTACCAGTTTAGGCACTTAAGTTTCTCTGTTCTCACTTTATTTGCAAGCTGAATATAGGCTTGGTGGTCATGCTTCAGAAAGCCCAATTACATTTCTAATGTTTACACTTTGTAGCAAAAGTGGTCTTATGCAGAAAAAAAACCCAGAAAGTGCTTCTCTTAAAATTTTTACCCAAATAAGATTTCCCCATCACCTTTCTTCTTAAAGACCTGAGTGTACTTAGAGAGAGGATCTCAGTCATTAATGTGTACATCTCAAGCATATAGTCCTGCTCTGTAGTTTTGCCTGTCACCAGTGAAGTTTCAGTGGTCCTGCTGTCTCTGCTACTACAACCCAAGGGGCTGTACTGGTTTTGAACATTCTTGATACTTCTTTAGGGGTGAGCCATCATCAGTGCTGCTCCTGAGCCCACCTGCACGCTGTATAATCACAGTGAGCTTCAGTCCTCTGGAGGCATGCCCTATATTTTCTTGTGAACTAAGCTGAGCAACCTCAAAATCCCTTTCCATGAACAGTCGAGACTGTGCCTCCCCCTTTGTGAGGCTGACAAGCACTGGAGGACTTCTGTCCCTTGCATGATTTAAATCTTCTGAAAAGTGAGTAGGTCAAATGAACACAGCAGTTGGGCCCAGGCACCACCCTGCAGCCCCAGGTGAATTAGCTAGCAAGAAGTTAAAGTTTCCCCATTTCTTGTGTGTGTGAGCAGCAACTGGATTGGGGCAATAATCTCCCTTAAAATTGTGTTAATATGCTTGCTGGATCTCCTACCCATGGAACTGCACCCCTGATAGCAGAGCAGTGGGGGGAAGCCCTGGTTAACTGCGATGAAAATCCCGCCTGTCAGAGCATCTCTAAGATCCTCCCTGTCTTTGCTAACTCAGTTTGCCTCCTCTGCTTTGCTTTTTGTTGCCCTAAGTAACCATTAACTTTTAACTGTGTTATACTGTATCCACTATAACACTGCTGAAGGGATGGCCTAGGTTTAACAGCAAACTCTTCTACCCTCTCCTGGCCAGAGTCTCTGTAGATTCCAGTGAGAGCAGATGCTTGTGTCCTTGCTTTAGGAGAACACGTGGCTACTTGCTGTTCTCTCACTAGCCTTAAAACAGACTTTTAGTTAAGGGCACAAAGAATGTGTCTTTTGGTGCAGTAGTGTGTGGCCACTGTAAACACCCATCCTGTAAACCTATTGTTGGCATTTTTGTCACAGCACGAAACACAGGAAGTGCTGCTCTAGGTTCAGCTCAGTTGGTTTTGCAGATCCTCCTCAGCATAAAGCATTCTGGTCTGTTCCTGCAATCTCAGTCCCAGGCTGTGCCTTGTGCTGAATCTGAGCAGCTGTGTATCCCTCCTGGGAAGGAGGTGGAGGAACACACAGCAGCACATTCCTGGTAAATAGGGAAGGACTATGTAACTAGCAGGCAATAGGTAATATTCTTTCAGTGGCCACTCAGGTTCAGCAATGGAAAATTGTGGATGTGGAGGTGAATGGAATTACTTTTGCAGTGCAAGTAGAGAATTAGTGTGTGCTCCTTACCTTGTCTCATGCTAGAAATTCAGCAGACCTTGTAAGCTTCAGAGTTCAAAGAAGAGTTTGTATCATTCTCTTTGATAGGCCATTCAGTTCTCTAGGATTTGGATTATGTCCTTATCATCAGGACATTCTGGAAAATCAGTGGGCGGGAAAAAATCTTCGTAATCCCTGATCTCTGTATTAGTGGAAGATGATATTCTCTTAGTATCTCCCAAAGTATTGATTTTTCACAATTATTTTTCTTATACTTCTGTTGCCCATAGCCTGCAATGTGCAGAGTTACAGTAGTGCATATTACTGCCATACCTTTTGTGGGAGAGTGGAATTGAAGGAGTAGGAGAAATAATATAAATAGTTTAAAAAAAATGCATCTTCCTCTACTTCTGTGAGTCTACTTTTTAAAAACCAAGCAGAGTATAGTGCAGGCTCATGAGTTCTCCTTAGTGTGTTGATAGGCTGACATGTTTGTTTTCTTTTTTAGTAAAGTCAAGGTGTCATTTAGAAATAAGCTGCATGCTTTTTTCCATTGTTGTAAATCAGCCTGCTAGCCAAATTCATCCTCAGTATCACACCACTGGAGAGTACAGATTTATACCAAGGTTGAACTTGGCTCAGAAGCCTACACTTACTAAAAGCTGTTGTCTCATTCCATGCATTTATAGTTTACATTCTTACTTCTACATAATTAAAATCACTAACATAAACTGAGTACACTTGAAAATGGTTTTGCTTTTAGAAAGCACAGTGTGCGAAGCTTGTTTGTATTCAAAGGCTATGCTAATCACTTGCAGTCTGTCTTTGTGGCAACTACTCTGCTCTCTAGGGTTTGCATCCTGGTGTTTATTTTTACAGCAGTCTGTGCAATGTTGGCAAATATTGGTCAGCCTTTGGTACAGAGGGTTCCTGATGTCACATGGTGTGTGTTAGATGATATGACTGACACTTTTTTCAGAAGTGGTTGGATGGTGAAGGAATAGATTGCAGGCAAACATAATAAATGTGGTTGTACTAGTCTGTAAAGCACTGTTAAGTGCTGAGGGTGTTATAGACTGAGAAAAGAATTAGCAGCTACCTGCCTTGGTTCAGGCCTTGATGAGCAGTGTAGGTTCTGCATCGTGTAGAGCTCTCATTTTATCACACAGGTGCTGTCTAACCAAAAAGTGGGATTGTGGATTGAAATGTTGTAATATCGTATCTTTGTATGTTCCTATAATAAAGTTAACTGTAATACATTTTAAATCTTTACACACACACAAAAATAAAAAATTTGTATAATGTACAGTTAAAAAAAAATACTACATTTGCAATGATGAACCAGAGAGCATTACCAACTCTGAGGAACCCTGGGGATTGCCCAAACCTGAGACACTGTTGTGGTGAGTTCATGTTTTAGATCTGTGCTGCTTCTGTGGTGATATGTTGGTTGATAAGGATGTGCAGAAAGGGGTATTATCCTTTCAGAGGCTGTGCTGTACAAAATGTGTTTGTACACAGACGGGATGCTATGATCATTTACAGGCTCTAGTAGATATTTGCTAGATTTAAGTTACATGGATCTGGAGTAAATACTCAAGTTTCTTGTTAAGAAAAAGACATTGCGGTTGATTTTCTGCAATCTTTATTTAAAAACCAAGGACAGTACAGTTTGGCTGCAGAATTTCTTTCTGTACAGGTGAATTATTGAACGCTTCTCACTTATAGCCAGTTAGATCAAAACCACTCCAAGTAATGAATTTCCAGTGTTTCCATTGCCAGCAATGGACATTACAGCAGGAGTGTCTAATTGCTTGCAAAAGGATCACTATTCTGACAGGTGTGGCACTCGTTTAGATGCACAGAGTAGGGCTCTTCCCTGCCACCCATGAACAAAAATCCCATCAGTGTTTGAATTTCACACACACACACGTCTGAGGGGACAAGGGACCGACCCTTTGTGCATCCATTGGCAAAGTTGAGAGATCAGGCAGAGCTGCTTTTCCAGCACTGCCAGATTGTGTCTCAAGGAATTCGGTGTAAATGCTTTAAGACACATCCATGTTTCACTGTGAGCAAGGGAGAGGTACTTTTTCTCTGAGGGGGATCATCCAAGCTTACTCCCACCACAGTGCATATCTGCTTTAGACACTCAGCACACTCTGGTTGCTATGGGACCAAAGCTGTGTGTCTGCAAAGGTCTGAGAGATGAACATAAGAGCTGAATCAAATTTTACCACTCAAACTGTCTGCTAAACAGGAAACAGAATCAGGAGAAATTAAAGCTATTCTTGTCTCGTAAAGGAATGTCTGCATAACTTCAAGTTGAGAACATTTTTACAGAGTAGAAAAGTCTCCTTTCAACAGATGTTTGTTAGACTGAGTTCTTCAATTCTGATTTGCACTGAATAGTACATCTATAACTTGAAATAGGAGCAACTAAAAGTAATGGACCCAAAATCCAGACTCATTTAAAGTTTAAGCTTACTAGAAACCACATAGTAAAAGTGGTTGTTAGTTTCCAAGAGCATTATAAAAGGTAGAAGAAAGAAGACTATTTAATTTAACCAAGGCAGTGGTAAGTCAGGGAGCAGCCTGTTAATTTAGCAGCACACAAGAAGTACAGTTACATTCTGTAACTGGCTGTCCTAGGCTACTGTAACGTGCAACACATAACCTGGGGATCAAAGGATGAAAACCAGCATCTTACCTTTCAAAGTGTCCAGTTATCTACTACTGAAGGGGCATTGCTCCACTCTTAGAATTTCCAGTAGGAGAAAAAATAATTACTTTTGTTTCCAAAGAAGCATGGAGTTTATGCATTTGGTAAGAGCATATACAACAAGGGTCATTCTTTCCAAAAGGAAGACAACTGTTAATGTATGTCTTCCTTTGAATGGAGGAGATTCAGGCTATCATAAGAGGCCCTCATAGGGTTCCCCCACTCCCATATAACATTAAAGTCCACCTAATCCAAAATCTGAATGGAATTCTCATAATACATCTAAGACAGACAAGTGTTACAGATTTTTGAAAGCACATGCTCGCTTGAGCTTCTCTCATAGTAATATTTCAGCAACTCAGTTCTTCCAGTGTGTGTGACCAGAAGACTGATCACCAAGATTAATATTTTTTTAAATGGCATTTCTTATGAGAGATGAAATTACAGGTAGTTTGGCACAAACACAGGTCATGGGTTCTATCCCCACTCTCAGGCTGGGAGGTTCTTTTGCTTGTTTACAGCATTCATGAGCAGGCGTACGTAGGATGTTAACAGGTCATCCATTTTGTAACCCTGTCAGGAAAGGAAAAAGTCTTAAATCTCTCTGAGAGCTCCAGAAGTAAAAATAACTAGAATTTCCTCCCTGGTTTATCTTCTTCTTAGGTTCTTCCCTGCATGAACATCTCTTTCAATAGCTGTCACTGTTTTAGTAATGACTTACCTATTTCTACTCTTCATAGATTTCCAAAACTTTACAGAGCATAGCTCTGCTGTCACCTGGGTATTCACTCTATAGCTTGACTTGTACTCTAAGATTCTTGTATTTAAGGATCCAGGCTTTTGTGTCAGAGAAGTTAGCCTACAAATGTTTTTGTTACCTTTACAAACCTACCATTAAATATTAATACAGTGATACTTCTTTGAGCCTCTGGACAGTCTGAAGCCAATTGTTAAAAAGTTGGTACCAATCACTGGAAAAGTATAAGGTCTTACAAGGCTGGCTTTCCTGCATAGACAGAGGCAGACATGCAAGACAAAAAGCCTCTTACATAGTTTTTCAGTCTTGATGTCTCAGGTGGATAGAATTTTGATGTAGGGGAAGAACTTGGGAAATTACTATTTTCATTGTGTCCTGTGTCTTAAATCTTTGCATCAGATAGCATGATATAGCATGCCATAAAATGGCAATTTTATTGACACAGCAGCAAATGCTTTTTGTATCTGCAGTGGTATTTATCTGTTTTGGCTCCCTTGTTTTGTACCAATTCTGGATGTAAAGGAAAAATCAGGAGGTTGTTTTGTCTAAGTTGAGGAAAGTCTTCTTACCAGAGATGTCTCACATAAGAGCCGGTTTCCTCGTACCAGGTTCCCTATTGTCATGTGAAAGTATGTGCTCCCACTGCTCCAGTTGGAGATTTTATTGAATGGGTAGACTGTTAAAATATCCTGTAAGGGGAAACAAATTGAACTATAGAACATTTCTCAAATGAAAACAGGCTGTTACATAAGAAAACCGGTAGAGCCAGAGCATTCTTTTTCTTTCCCACTTCATTTATAAATGCAGTGGATCAAGGTAGTTCTTGCATCTAAACGAGTGTTATGTTGTATTTTCACCAAGCAGGTGAATCTTAATCACACTAGTGAGACTTCCTTTCATTATATATTGATCTGTGCCTTAGCACACTGCCATTATATTTACTATAATCTAAAACTCACTGGATAGTTGTTTCATTATTGAAAGGAAATAGTGATATTCCCTTTTCCTGGGAACTTGGTAAGACCAGAGTGTTGGGGTTAGGCAGCAGCTAAACACTGCCATTCAGCCTGAGCTTTTAGACACCTGGGCTTCCTGCAAAACACTTTTCTTGAAGCAGGTGCACTGCCCATCCATCTGACTGATCTTGCACATCCATCTTACCACCTTGCTCAGGTGCATCATGATTCCCATGTCTCTTTGCAGAGATGCTCTACACTGTTTCTTTTCCAGTGTAGAAACTGCAAAGAAGTAATTTGAGGCAGTGAAATTTTCTTCTGTTTTCACACAAAAAATGAATAGAGGGCCTCTATCCTCTCTTATCATTCCTGGACAAGGTCCCGTTGCTGTCCCTAAATTAGCGCAGTCAGTTAGATCCTTCCTTCCGTGGACTCATGAGAAGCAATTGTTACCTTTGTCTTCTGATGTATCAGCGAGACTCCTTGCTTGTTGATTGCAATCAGCACAATCTCTGGGAAATTTGGCTCCGAGGCTTGCTGTGAACAAGTAACACAGAAAGATAAGCAGAAAAGGAAGAAATTATCTGTGTGAGGTGCACAGTGACCTTTAATAGTGTCCAGTGCTGCTTGTTCTCTTTCCCAAAATGAACACTGAAACCTTTTGGCCCTATATCGAGGACTTGAGCAACTGCTGCATGAAAGCAGAATCTGGTCCATTATTTACTACACTGATAACAGGCTTAACAGTTGCTTGCAAACCAGTTAAGGGAAGTTAAGAGCCCAGCAAGGAGAAATTAAAGGTAGCAAGTGGGAAATGATTCCTGGGAGGTATCCTCTCCAGAATGAGAGGATTAATACAGTTCTGTTCTAAGGGAAGAGTCCCCACAGAGACAAGATTTGGCAGCATTTTGTTGTGGAGAGTGATGACAGGACAATTAAGCATCCGTGTAACTAACCCCCTACTGCTAGTACACACCTGTAATATAGGTATTACAACTGGAACAACAACATAGCCAGTAAACAGCAGACATAGTTCAGAATGGATAAAGAACCCATCTCCCCACTTTGAAGGAACTGAGTTTTCCTCAATAGATCACAGGAACTCAGCTTTCTAATGTATTTTCACTTATGCAGATATGGAATTATAGTAAGTCCGTATCCCCTAGTACTGATCTACTCCCAAATCCAGTCACACAGGCCTTCAAACCTACCTTCACCTCAAAAAAGGCTGATCCAAATGTTGGCCACCGGTGTATCATTTTCAAGAAGGCAATCTTGGCCTCATCCACAGTTTTTCCCTCATGTTTACTATATGCTGCAGTAATGCTCTGTTTAGGAAAAGCAGATACAAGGCCTGTTCAGGTGGGAGACAGGCAGATTTCCAGTGCCCAGCATTAGCACTAAAGACAGCACCAGATCATCACCAAGATCATGTTTTTTTTTTCCCACAGCAACAGAAGACTGTGAAGATGTAAGGATCCTGCCATGCCCTGAGGCAGGGGGGAGCCAGAATCCCCAGCTTTTCTTATTCATGTGTTGGGTGAAGGAAGCCCAGCAGCCCCAGGGAATGGACTTCAGGTCAGAGGGGCAATGTAGGATGAAACAAAAGAAAGGCAGTGTTCATCACCCACAGACATGTATCACATCTTCTGCTGAAACACGTAGGGTCATTTGAAATAGTGTCCTGTGTCTTCCTCAGTGGACTAAGTAAGAAGTACCTGCTGAAACTTCCTTGCCTTTTCATGGAGAAAAGAGCCTTTTGCTGTAAGTAGCATGCACATGGTGCAAGGAATTTTATTTGGTGCCAAACTATGAAATACTTTATTACACACCTTAA